ACGGTGGCTGGGGGATTCTGGGAGTTGAAGTCCACAAACAGTGGCTGGGGGATTCTGGGAGTTGAAGTCCACACACGGTGGCTGAGGGAATTCTGGGAGTTGAAGTCCACACACTGTGGCTGAGGGATTCTGGGAGTTGAAGTCCCAATTCAGGATGACTATGAAATCTGCCGATGAGACATTCCGCAGTCTCCTGAGCGGGATCCGGCCCAGAGCTCCCCTCGAACCCTCTTCCTTCCTTCTCCTGCAGGACGTCTATGATAAAGTCAGCTACCTAAGCTCGCTGGGAAAAACCCAGATCGCCGTGGTCCAGCGAGACGCCGACATCGGCGTGGCCGAGGCCGAGCGAGACGCCGGCATCCGGGTAGGTGGAGCGAGCGAATCTCCCCCCGGCTGGCTCGACCTCTTCTCTGGAGGCCCTGGGGGACCCCGCTGAGCTTTTGGCCGCTGTGCTTGTTGTCGCTGCAGGAGGCCGAGTGCAAGAGGGAGATGCTGGACGTGAAGTTCATGGCGGACACCAAGGTGGCCGACTCCAAGAGGGCCTTTGAAATGCAGAAGGCCGCCTTTACTCAGGAGATCAACATGAAGGTGAGTTGGGGAGAGGAGAGAGTGATGCTGCGGAAGGAAAACGTGTTGAAAGCTTGTGGCAGGAAGCCCCAAAGACCTTAGAGGCCAGCAGGAGAGAAGCTCTGTAGCCCAGGGCTGGACCGTGGGGTCCCTGGCGCTCTCCGAGCTGGCTTGTTTCCTTGCAGACGTTTCATGACCCAAACTAAGTAACATCATCAGTGCTGGAAAGGAGTGGAGTTTGTGGAGTGGAGGAGGAGGAGGAGGAGGAAGACTGGGGGGGGGTCCCTGGTGCTCTCTGAGCTGGGTGGGTTTCTTGCAGACGTTTGATGACCCAACTAGGTCACCTCATCAGTGTCAGAAGAGAGTGGGGGTTCTGGAGAGGAGGAGGAGGAGGAGGAGGAGGAGGAGGAGGAGGAGGAGGAATAGGAATCTTGGGGTGACTGTCTGCTCACCAGTGTGTTGATGGCTGGCCAGGTGGTGTCTTGGTCTTCTTGTTTCCCTTCTGTTTCTTTTGAGTAGAATTAAACGTGACATCTGAAGGCGAATGTTGTTGTGTTAAATGTTCTTTCTCTCAGCATGCCCATGAATAGCTGATTTCTCTGGGTGCCAGGCTCCCAGGAATTCTCTGGCAGTTCCTTAATTAAGGAACCGCCAAAAAGAAAAGAGCACTCCCGCCCACACGGACAGGGCAAGAAGACCCTGGAATATAAACGTACAGCTAACCTTGCACTGATGTTGTGACCTAGTTGGGTCGTGAAACGTCTGCAAGAAAACAGCCGAGCTCAGAGAGCACCAAGGAACCTACAACCCTTTTCTTCTTCTTCTTCTTCTTCTTCCTCCTCCTCCTCCTCCTCCTCCTCCTCCTCCTCCTCC